ATTCAAGCGCATCTTATATTTAATTTCCAGGTCCAAACTGTGTGTAGAGGGATGATTTTTGATGTAAATACAGTTCCGATGACAAAAGGATCTTTACCTACAAGCAAAGATGTAAAAAGCACACACTGCTCTGGTGGCATGTGGGCTTCATCTCGCGTCCACTCGCAGGAGCTTGAACATGAGAAGAGTGCCTCCTAGTGGCCGCAATAAACCTGAGTGGGACAAAGTGAAATCTGTCAGTGCCTTCAGTGAAATACCTGCCAATTTGACTTGGGTGAATCGTCAATAACAGTGAGCTACTTTAAGCGTGTGAGTGGCATCCGTGTCTTGCTCTTAAGCGGGCTCCCTTTCCTTTCTGCTTGCTCTGACTGTGACGATGGCGTGACAGACGATGGCGAGTCACCCGACTGTGTGCAACTGAGCCATCCACAAACAGTCCAAATATTTACCGGTATTCATGAGGAGGTTTTGTTTGGACTTTGTCGATGCAGCGTCTGCTGTCAGGTGCAGATGCAGATATTAGTCATCCGTCCATTAGTGATGAATCATTGCGCTTTGACTTGACCTCCAATGAGTCTGGCTTGACTTAAAATCATTTTAGGTCAAGCCAGCCTCATTGGATTTATTTTTTAAATAGGAAAAAATAAAATAAACATGTGGCATTTAACAGCATGCAGCTACTTGATATTCGTAGGTGTGTGTGATGCTTGTTCCCATTTGACCAGGAGGAGCTGGAGCTGATTTCAAGACAAGAAGAGTAAGATCTTTTAATTACAGCCTTCGCTAAGGCTTAAGGCACCACTGGCTTCATTTCGCAATTAAGAGCAGCGGCTAGTGCACAGCCAATAGAGATAGATGGGCGCTGCTTTCGCCTGGATAGCCAACACACCAAAAAAAACAAAAAACAAAACAACAATCCTTATTAAGTTCAGCATAGAAATCAACTTTTCTTCCTCTCGATAATTGAACAATTTGCTTCTGTCCGGATTAGGAAATTATTTCGGAAATAATCCCATCCGGGGTCAAACTGTTGCCATCATAAATTTTGATTTAATGTGCTTTTTTAAGTATCATTTGAATATTCTAAAAGTAGGTCAACCAGGAATGCCAAGACAATAAAAACATCAGACGAGCAGGGTGCAATTTCATCCAAGTTGATTTGTGCCACAAAAATGAGACGTGTCTTGTCATTTCTGGTGTTCTTGTCTCAAAAGGGCCCTTATGTTGAGGCCGCTGTTGCAGAAAAGCAAAACGTGCATTGAGAGTTCCTTGCTGCTCGCTGAACTGAGGTCTTGTGCATATTTCTCCTTCGCAAACGTTGATCTCAATCCAAATTGTGCAACCTGGGGTGTGTTCCAATTTTTGTGAAGTGCAAGCCGGCCCCACTCCCTGTTATAAATGACGCATGATGCATTCGTGGGCCTCCGTGACTTTTCCCATGAGCGCTATTGAACCCGTGCTGTCATATGTGCGACTGTACTCCAGATCCATAATGGCCTCTGCAATGTTAATGTGTTTGGACAGATGGAAGAGGCAAGTGCTGATGTGCTTAACTACGCATTTTACAGCGAAACTATTAAAAGAGTTGTGCTGTTTACACACCAACATTTGAATACCTGTCTTCAGGCCAGTTTAATTATCCGAGCCCTTCTGTTATTTCTGCCGCTTTGTTGTCCCGCAGCTTTGCACAAGGCACGAGATTTGTTTGCGACTTCATTAAGATATGGTGGCGCGGAGCTGTTTGCGGGGAGCAAAAAATAAAAACATCCGGCTCATGTATCTCACTTGGCCCTGCCTCCCCCATAGATACTGTACCACTATTCTATTCCATTGAAGCGTTTTCTTATAAAGTCATTTAACTTGAGGAAATTAAAACAAAATGCCCTGTGATGTCTGCACTTTGAAATCTCTCGTGGCTCGTGCCCCCGGTGAGTCATCCTGAGACGTTTGATTAGTTTGTAAGTACTTACAGAGTGGGGGGAGAAAGGGTTTGCATTGTAAATGTGTTTCATGAATTTCTCTCATATGCTCATCTTCAACCGTGTGTTCAAATAAAGCATTAATCAAAAGCAAAACGGCAAGAGGGCATTTCGCCAGCAGAGCTCGAGTCTCGGGGCCTCAGTGAGCTGCCGGATAGGGTATTGAGAGACTTTTCGGAAGCAGTGGTTTTTAATTATCTGGACCACGTACAGGATGCCGTTTTGATTGTTTTAATGAGGCAGCTGGCCTATTGTCTCTCCTTAATTCCTCCATTGTTTTTAGAATATGTCATAGTTCTTTATTCTTTTATCAGGTGCTCTGCAGGAGGATTTAGACAATAGCCTTCATTCCAACTGCATTGGCTACTGCACAAAGGCAGCTCGGTGCAGACAGTTAGCAGGCAAACAAGTGCAAATCACAAGCTGCACTTTTCCCAGCCTTTTCGCCCAGTTTCTTGACTCGCCGTTGGTCTTTCGCTCTCGCTCTTGACCTCACTCCTCGTGCATTCATTCGCACAAATTACACTATTATCACGGCCGGCTCACCTGGTTTTGTGATTTAAATCGTCATCTTTGGAAACGAGGTGAGCAGTAGCACATTAACAACAACATTGTACCTTGATGGAATGCTCTTCTTAAACTTCAGGTCTGATGCAGGCTGTGGGCAATCCTCTTTTTTTTTTTTAAATCAATATAAATACCGTGCTTCAAAGTATGAAGCCTTGGGGGGGGGGGGGGTTCTTCTTGAACCGATCTCCCATGACGGTGGACAGCACTGCAAACTACAACGGCAAGAGATATCATTTTAAAATGTTGAACAAATTTAGATTTTTGAATTTTTTTTAAATTCCATCACTTTTGTGATGAATCTCACACTGGATGCAAGTGTAGTACACGACATACTGTAGCTCTGATTACAGCTAGTTATGTCTCACCCTAAACCCTAATCCAGCAGTTGCAACGCATATTTCAGATTGCAAATGACCAAAACCAGCAGAATGCTGCTTTAGTGTTTTGTTTCGCTCAGAAAAAAAAAGAAAAAAGTGGTACATCCAGTTCTGATACTCATTTCCAGCATTTGGGCACACAACAGATGGATCTGTCGCACCCTTGGCTGAAGGGATACAATCTGACTGCATATTCTGCTGTCAAAAGCAGTAAAACATTTCGACACACTGCGCATAATCTGCCTCCTTTCAGCCGAGGAGAGTCGACAGTGTCTTTGATAGCCATTGATCCTGAAACCCTGATTTGTATCTCAGCGTGCGGGTCCTGGTTCATAATTCTCTTTGTATGGTGCGAGCGTGTGCTAACTAAAGAGATCCATACAGAGGAGAGAAACTTTTGTGGCTATGGCTGTGATATATTCCCCTTCATTGTCAGTCGCCGTTTGTATCTACCTTGATTGTAACTTGGGCAGACAGTAGAGAGGAGTTTTGTTATTTTAATTAGGAGATAAAAATTCAAAGGGCCTCTCCAGGCAGTGTGCGCTATGACAGAATCAAAACCAAGAAGTGGAGCGCCCTGAAGTGCGCGTCTCATCACAGTCGATTGGCCGACAGATAGGCATTGCTATTTAAACGTGTGACGTGCCGTCCACGCGCACGCACACGCACGCGCGCACTCACACACACTCAAAGGGAGTAAGCCTACACACATGGGTGGCATATTTTAATACCATTTCATTCCTTTGACACATTTGTGACGGTCTAATTTTCAATGCTACAGATAGGAAGTGCTTAAATCAAGACAGCGATGCGAAACCTCCAATTTTGCATCAAAATAATAATGGGACCCAGACCTTCTTGAAAGGTAGAATGATTTATTGATATGGCACAATGCTGTAAACTCCATTTGCGTTCCGTTTCCAAGGTGTTGCGCCACGTCTTCTAAATCCACCTGGATGAAGTGAATTGTGCTCATTGAGAGCACCTTCATGCTGTCAACGGGCGGTTTTAAACCGAACATCTTATAGGGTTTATGTAAACATGAGTAATCAGTGTTACACATGTGTGAGGGCTTTCTCAGCGACCCCCCCGCCCCACCCGCCTTCACGCCTCTCCTCAGGACTCTCTTTATTCCACATCGGCTAGGGCTCAAATCACGTCCCCTCTCAGCCTGACACTGCGATGGTATGTTTGCACATCTTTGAAAGCTAACAGCGTGCTTTAATTAATTGTCCAGCTTCCCACAGAAACAATGTCCTAATTCTGCCATTTAGCGGGAGCGTATCATAGTTTGTTGTTATCTCTCCAGCCAGATTTCTGTAAATAGTCACATTAAAAACTTTAATCTCTTCAATAGAAAATGGAGTGCAGCTGAAAGCCTGTCATGTGTAGAGATAAATATTATCTAAGCTAAAGCATTCCCTCTCTTCTTCTACCTCCCCTCATTCGCCCCCAGGCCCCTCCTCCTTTGACACTTCATAAATAAAAAAATTTAAATGAATCCCGACTTCCGAAACACAAACCAATATGGAGGACCTATTTCACTGTTCTATGTGAAAAGAGCATGTTTGGTTGATTTTGCGACACCCTTGTGAGGAGCTGTGATTTAGTTTTTTTCAAAATTCTGATTTTTAGCTTAGTTCTATGTAAACGTTTTGATTCTGATGGTGTATTGATATTGTGACGTGGATAGTTTGGCTCATAAAAATACCCTTTGACTACATTGTGGCTTGACAGCTTTGAAAGACATAAGGTAGAAATGGCAAAAATAACGTTGACATTAGCTTACGTTGTTGCTGTGTGTGTTAGCTCTATCTTGATGCTGCAGAATTATCCAATCTCTGATTTGCTGAGTGCTGCCACTTCGTTTCTGAGATGAGAAGTTCGTCCATACTCACCATTCAGTATCTTTTTTTATTCTACTCACGCACACAAAAAAAAAAAAACCCAAAAAAAACGGAGTTGCTGAAACATTGCATAATTGCCCTGACCTTTAAGCCTGGATTTACTCGCCGTGCATGCAATCAAGCTTCTCACAAAGCAAGCACTTCAACATCCTGCCTGTTTTGTCCAGGTGGCCAACTGTGGTGCACCACCACCAAGAACATGATGGAAGGCGAAGAGCTGGTGGCATTTGCAGTTGACTTTGACTCACGTCTGCAGGCAGTCAACCACATGTCTTTGAGCGAGGGCATGTACCCGGCCAGGCTGCTGGACAGCATCCAGCTCTTGCCGCAGCAGGCTGCAATGGCTTCCATCCTACCCACTGCAATTGTCAACAGTAAGTGGCTGCGCACCATCATTCACGTTCACTGCGCTGCGATGAGATGCGCTTTTATTTCGACACGTGCGCTTCTTCTGGCGCACACACACACACACACACACACACACACACACACACATAGCTTGCCCATGGTCACCTGCTTAACAAGGAGCGTAGATTAACCCAGATGAGTCTCTGCATTGGCGATAAGAAGCAACGACCTTGAAGTTTTGGGTTCACATAAACACTGAGAGGATCGGACTAACGTGTTAATTGCAAACTACAGGCCTCATGCAAATGGTGTGTTTGTTTACTTAGCAAGGGCTATCTGGGTTCAGCTCAACGGGGAGGTAAGCAGATGGTCCAGTGTTCTCGTTTGCCCTTGAGAAAGGGCACAAACCCAGTGGTAGCAGTGCAGCAACATGCGGCAGCGAGAAATTGGAGGGAAACGCTTTGGGACGTCGGCTTTGGGAAGCAGCACTGTCGATAATGGAAAGCGTCATGCAGGCCACGGGACAGTGCAGTGTTTTTCTTTATCTTGCCCCTGTACCCTTTCAAAATCTTTACGAGCTTGCTGTTTGTGTCCCTCCAGAGGACATCTTCCCCTGCAAAGCTTGTGGGATCTGGTTTCGCAGTGAGAGGAATCTACAGGCCCATCTGATGTACTACTGCAGCGGGCGGCAAAGGGAACCTGAGACGGTTGTTGAAGACAATGACAATGGACCCCACCAGACGTCCAGTGTGTGCCCCTTCCCACAATGCAGCAAGACCTTTTCAGGGGCCAGGGCCCTGGAGATGCACCTGGCCGCCTCACACAGTGGTGAGTCACACCAACAATGACAGACGATGCATTTGGATTCACTTTTCATTTTCAGCCCTTTTGTTTGAATAATGCACAATTTCAATCGAGAAAGCGACAGGATTTTGGACTTACAGCATATTCTTCTCCTCATGTCAGCTCGCATCACTGACAATTTATCCCTCAGCAAATTTAAAAAAAAAAAATCAAGTGCATGGGGATCTCCCTGGCATAATGCATGAGTGTTTGATGGTTTGTACCGTTAACTCTACCGGGGAACCGGGAGCCGAGATTCTGAGGTTGTCCTTTTTATCTCGTTCGCAGGTGTCAAAATGGAAGAGAGCCTCCCTCCTGGCACCAGCTTGAAATGCACAATCTGTAACTACACGGCAGATTCTCTTATTACATTCCAGCATCACATCATGTCTCACCTGTCACAGGCGGCCTTCAGATGCAATCACTGCCATATCAGCTTTCAGAGCCACAGGGAACTCTTACAGCATCAGGACTTACATGGCCATGGCAACAAACTTCACAGGGAAGGCGACGCCACCGAGCATTCCCCCAGGGGGGCTGAGGAAAGCCTCCAGCAGCAACAGCAGCAGCAGGCCTGTACCGAGCTGGCCAGCAGGAAGGATGCTCTGCTGGGAAGCCCCAAGGGGGCACTCAACAAGGAGACCGGCACAGACGGAGAGCCCGACAAGGCTGAAAAGAAGCCCATGCTGTCCGCTCAGAAGGGAGATGCCCACCCGGGCAGCAAAGCAAGCTTCTCGTACACTCGGATCAAATCTGAGCCCTCCAGCCCCCGTCTGGCCTCTTCCCCCGTGCAGCACAACATGCCTACGTTTCCCATGGGGCCCTTCTTGTCTCAGTTCGCTTTCTCCCAAGACATTTCGGTGGTCCCCCAGGCTTCCGAGATTCTAGCTAAAATGTCCGAGCTCGTTCACAGGAGACTGCGTCACGGAGGGAACAGCTACCCGCCGGTCATCTACAGCCCTCTTATGCCCAAAGGAGCCACCTGTTTCGAATGCAATATCACCTTCAGCAACCTGGACAACTATTTGGTCCACAAAAAGCACTACTGCAACAGCCGCTGGCAACACCTGGCAAAGTCACCCGACTTCTCCGCCCTTTCCGACAAGGTCCCCGAGTCAGTGAGCCCTAACAGCGGCCACACATCTGTCAGCATGCTGAGTGGCTGCCACCCCGCTGAAGGCGACAGTCACCTCATGCAGTCGGCCTGCCTGAACTCCAGTGTGTTGGACCTGATCAATGCTGGCGCCAAAGGGCCTGACAAGGAGCTATCGGGGCAGGTGAAGAAGGTCTCGACGCCGACCGGGGTTGAGGATAGGCTGAACGGGAAACAGATCGAGGGGAAAAGCCCCGGTGCCGGCGGTCTCGTCGAGAGCGACAACGACCCGAGCAAGACCACGTGCGAAGCCTGTAACATCACCTTCAGCCGCCACGAGACCTACATGGTGCACAAGCAGTACTACTGCGCCACTCGTCATGATCCGCCCATGAAGCGCATGTCCGCCAACAAGGTGCCCTCCATGCAGAGGAACATGAGAACTCGTAAGCGAAGAAAGATGTACGAGTTGTGTCTCCCGGATCCGGACCATCAAAGGCCCCCCATGGGACAGCCGGGTTTCCTCGGCATCCATCCTATGAATCCTTGTACGTCCCAAGAAGCTGTGGACGGCCTCGGCGACCGTTTCCACCCCCGCTGCGACATCTTTCCAGGTATGGTCCCGAAACACCTGGAGGCCTCTCTGACTGTCACTAAACCTATTTTGACTCCCAAATGCAGCCCAGCGGAGCCCCAAGAGTTGGATGCCCCAATTGATCTCAGCAAAAAGTGTTCCCTCCTCTCTGACAAGACGTGTAGCTCTCCAAAAAGACTGTTGGACTACCACGAATGTGCAGTTTGCAAAATAAGTTTTAATAAAGTGGAGAACTACTTGGCACACAAACAGAACTTTTGCCCGGCTACGGCTGCCGCTACCGCTCAAAAGTCCCAACAGTCGCACCAACAGCCGCAGCATAACGAGACGGGCAGCCTGGACACGACCATGTTCGCAGATGTGAAGAACGAAGGCAACAACAACAACAACAACACGGGCGAGACCTACGATAAGAGCCCGAGCAAATGTGAAAAAAACGGCAAGGTGATGGTGCAGAACGGCGGCCTGTTCCCACCTCACCTGGGGCCCGTGCCAGGTCTCAAGCCTTTTGCTGAAGCCCAGCTCATGCCATCGAAAGATGAAAACAAGAACATGTATCTGCCCCATTGCCTTTATCCCGGAGCAATAAAGAAGATGAAAGGTTCTGAGCAAATATCGCCGTATTTTGGGATCAAGCCGACCGACTATGTGAGCGCAGGACCCGCGATGCAGGGAGAGGCCAGTGAACAAGAGCAGGGTGTTAATGGGGCAGGAAGCGGAGGTGAGGCGGGAGCAGCGAGGGAAGCGACCCAACAGCCCGCCGCTAATGGCTGCCCTCATCCTGGCAAGGAGCCTCTCCCCCTGCTGCCCAAAAACCGAGGCATGGTCATTGTCAACGGGGGACATAAGCCGGAAGAACGTTCGGGCACGGCGCCGCAACAGGAGAACCAGCCCCAGCCAGATGGCCAAGCAACTAATCCCTCCCCAACGTGGGCCGGGGAGAACCCAGCAGACTCCAACGAGAACATGTCACCTTCCTCCAAGTCCCCAAACGAGGATGCGGCACCCCCGGCCAACAAAGGGATGAACGGTTCCGGAAGTAGCAAGTACTGTCGCCTCTGCGATATCCAGTTCAACAACCTGTCAAACTTTATTACCCATAAGAAGTTTTACTGCTCATCACATGCTGCGGAGCATGTGAAATGAGAAGACAGATTCTTCAACCCAAAACCGCTTTCCTCCCAATCCCCATCACATTTGCCCTTGTTTCTGACTTTTGTTTTGGTACACTGTTTGCGTCTGGAATCGTGCATCACGCAGTGCTAAGAACTGTTCGTGGACAATCAAGAGAGGCTCCTGCTGTCCTTTTATGACGTAAACATGCAAAAACCTAGAAGGAAAACGAGAAGAAAACGAATCAAGAATTCTATCGGTGCCACTTTCACATTAATTTATTTCACAATCAGTATTAATGGGTCGTGATTTTAATTTAACTTCAAATGAAATTTCTATCAGAGTTGTTTGTAATGTTATTGTATAGTCATTCTTGTGTAGCACACACATTGTTTACATTGTAAGGTAGGCTCAATGAAACAATAGACAATACAAAAATGAGATGCATTTTAGACACAAAACTAGCTACTGAGGCACTTGTGTATTCTTATTTGCTGTAGCAACTTCAGTATATGCCCCAAATGTAGATTGCAGACTGCGACTGACCAAGTGTTCACCACTTGGCGGTGACCAACAGGCACAACGATGCGTTTCACATTTTGGCATATACCCGCGGCTTTGCATTCCTATGTGGCTGTTTGTCTGTCTTTTTTTCTTCAAGCCAGATGTGGACGTTTTCATAAGGATGGCAGCGTTCTTGTATAGTACTTGTATTTCCGTTGAATGATACACTTTGGTCTCCCTTTTTGAAAATTTGCTCTCAATGCAATACTTTGTAAATGAGGGAAACGTTACTAAAAGCAGTATTATGAAATGGGGACTGTGCATATAATTATTTGTAACCCCTCTGCGGGGTAAAAAAAAAAAAAGAATTATGTTTATTGCTAACAAACAACATGGGTGGGAGGTCAGTGGAAATACTGATTATCATTCCAGTGTCCTGATAATGGGAGAAAATGTTTCTTAAAATGTTGTTGCTATGCATGTATATGGATGGAATTAAATTCCAAATCTGTTGGAAATTTTTATTTTGATGTGGTGTCATAATTAAACTTAAATCCTCAGGATGAACTACTGATGTCGCCTTTTCATTTTACCATCAGCTTTTGTTTGCAAGGACTCCATTTACAGCTTAAATTGTATCCAAAATCATTGCAGTATAGAAATGTGCAATATTTACTCTCAAATTAGTGATTTCAATGATCCATTTCGGAAGTCGATGCCTGGCTGTCATCTGACTCAAACCTAATGAAGTGACAGATGGCAGAAAATAATGCAAACGATGAGAGGAATTCAGTGTAGTGGTTGTAAAAAGTCTGTACACTCCTGTTCAAATGCCAAATTTTTGTGGCATCATAATTTTTTTTTTTGAGCATCATGTTTAAAACAGAATAGACCCATTTCAAAATAAGGTAGCAATTGATATTTAAAAAGGAGCATGCTTAAGTTCAAGGAACTTATAAATATCCTACCCCTCACTGACCAAATTAAAAACAATGCTGTTTTGCAGATACACCAAGAATAAAAACAAAATATTTTTCCACCATAAAAGTGATCAATAACCTGTACAACTCAATGATTTTTATTTTTTACATGGACAAGTAAAACAAAATAACTGACCAAGTGGCTGCATAAGTGCGCTCACCCTCTTCGAACTGGGAATGTGCCTGTGTTCAGATTGAGGCTAACCAAATACAGTCAAATTCATGTCAAATGGGAGTCAGCCAACACCTGCCACCATTTAGAGTGCATCTGCTGAACCCCAAACTAGGTTCACCTCTTCTAGTCGGCTTTCCTTTACATTGATTAGCTTTTTAGCAGAAGCCAAACGGTTTTGTGCAAGCACTGGCTGGGATTTGGACCTGCTCTGTTTTATAATTCCGTCTACTTCAGGGGTGCTGATCACGTCGATCGCGATCGACCGGTCGCTCGCGGACTGGTCCAAAGTCAATCGCGAGGGGTGTATATTAAAAAACTAACGAACAAAAAAAAACCCCAAAACGAACAAACATTTTTGTGTCTCTGTGCATGTTAATAATAGACATTTTGTGTTAATAGTCACTGCACCCTAATCATTCTATTAATCTCACTTTTGACAAAAAGTATGTAAAAAATAAAAGCAAGCAGGTCACCTTTAATTTACGGTGTCGGGCGCCCTGCTTCACCGGAAGTTAGCGCTCAGCAGTCTGCAATTGAAGCTTGCGATTAGGGGTGTTGCGATATGGCTTTTATTATTATTATTATTATCAGTCAACGTTCATTTCGTGTACAATTCACCGATGGCACTCGCAAAGAATGGCACTCTGAGAAGCATTTTAAAACGGTACCCGTGAGCTACGATAGTGAACAGGCTGCAAAAGTCGTCGCATGCCTCCGCATCAGGTGTCCCATTAAGGTAGGCAGTGATTTCCTTTTCACAAACTCATCAACTCATGTGTCTACTTTATTTTCTGTTTCGTTCATCTTAGGGCCCGTTATGGTTGTTGCTCATCATGGCATGTGTGTGTGTGTGTCAGTGCGTGCGTAACGGGTTGATCGAAAAGTAGATTTTAGGTCCAAATGTTTGGGCATCACTGCTCTACTTTGACTATGTGGCAGCGTGCACCCCACTCAGGTATTATCCCCACATCTTTGGTTTGGGCGCGCTGATTGTTGAGCTAAAAGTCTGGTTCACCAATTCAGCTCAAAACCATTCTAGAAAGCGGGTTGAGTGAGGTTTTCGTTCCAACCACACACTTTAAGCTGGCACATGACTTGAAATATTTTCATCAACAGGTGGGAAAGGTGGGTAGATAGAACTTTCTTGAAGTATATGGCCCCTCTATCATTGCAGATTCAATGTGCAGATTATTGATCGGCAACCCCTATGCACCTAATTACATTTATGTCTAGAGTGGGATGTTGGGGGGGGGGGGCTGTGGATGTCTCCCCATTAGCCCCCATCCTCTGCACACCCCTGGCCGCAGGGCCTGCTGAAGAAATCAGTCCCCAAGCATCCTGATGCC